GAAGCATGTTTACCAAATGACAACAAAAAATCAGCATCTTTCACTCCTTAGTTTCTAAACAGACAAGGATATTAGACTTAAGGTGCTGTGGTCCTGATGATGCTTAATTAGGGTATCTCTGTTGGTGTTGGTGCTAGGGTTAGGGTTGGGTGTTACAAAGTCTCTGTTGGTACCTACACAATGTAGTTGTATTGTCTTCCTTCTGTATATTTCTAATATGAATTCTAAAAGCATGTTTGGCTGTTTCTCATATATGTCTTAAGTGCATATTTTATAGTTAAGCTACACACTTTGGCATAGATATCACGACTGTTCTGTCAGTTATCTTAGCAGTTATTGACCTTACACTTCACATTACGCATTATTTGTGCATATGGCAGTTTGCCTTGCTGTGAATATTGTACTGCTGCAACATAATCAGATTATTGTAAAAAAAGAGAAAGTTATGAATGTTGACTCTTCATACTGATCACATAAGACATTTTAATTATGAAATTTTGTAAGTTGCTAATGGCCATAGACCATTTTTATTATATTAGTCATTCTGAGTTATTAATTATCCATTTTGTACTACCTGCTACATTCTCCTGTATTATTTACTTACTCTTTATATTCCTATGTATGCATTATCGTATTGAAAGCATTTGTTAACTAATTGGTTTTCATAGCTTCCTGTAAAAATGTAAGAAATGTAATTCTGTAGTCTTGTAAGATAAAATTGGAGGAGATATGGGGCATATCAGTAACTCTTCTATACGAGAGAAGTTTTCACATATATCTGAGAGGAAGAATATTTTTCCTGAATGTGTGTTTTATGAATAAATTTGGAAAACATGAGCAGACAATATAGAGAAATAGAGCTTGTAAAGTGTAGGTAATTTATGCATTCAGGTTTTGTTATTTTGCATGCATTTTCACTTTAATTACATAAGAATTAATTACACATTTTTCTAGCCACTAAGTTACTCCAATAAATTGTTGTGCATTAAGGACACCGTGTTAGCATCAAGGATGAGTATATTCATATCCTTCAGGGCATCCTCAAAAACACAAAAGCAAATGTAACATGAATGTTTAAAGTAGTAAGAATTCTTCAGCCTAATAACACTGTGTCTGTTTAACATCTCATATCTATTTCATCAAGTGGATTTGGTCTGCTGTCCATAGAATTGCTAGTTCCACTGTTTATTAATAGGCAGTATGTTCATCAATTATCTTGCCTTATTTCATGAGTAATTAAATGTTCCTAGTTTGGCCAAAAAATATCAGCGCAATAAAAACCTTAATTGTCTTCCTCATCTATTCATAGCATGATCAGATTGCCCTGTCTCCAGCTGTTAATTGCACTAAACATTGATAGTTCATCACTAAACATTGATAAGTTCAGCCAACACAATTATGAAAAAAAAAAATGCATATTTAAAACAAAATACTGATGGAACTACAGGCTGTAGGATGGTGTGCTGGGTTTTTTTTCTGGGCATATATTAACATATTAAAGCAGGATTAAGGTGTGAAAGTGATTTAGGAATTGTGTTGGGTTTTTCCTCTGCAGAATTGTCTACTAAATGTTTAAGAAAAGCACCACTCCTTTCTTCAGTGCAGAGCATATTATGCTTATTCTTTCCTTCCTGGAAGATGCACTATGGTACATTCTTGGGTTTTTTTTCTAATTCATTATGCTTTCAAAATGGTAGCAGCTGTAATATAGTTAAGGTAAAATGAAGCTACATTCTAGTTAATACTCATGGGTTTTTATCACAATTGGCACATTATATAATAAATGTTTTCAATGCTATTGCAGCAGAAAAAAAACCCCTCTCATAATGCATACACAAGTCTGAGAGTTGTGAATAAACATTTATTTACTCTAAACTTCAATCTCTCACAGGTTTTAGAGCCTTTACTGTTACTCCTTTTTGTTACACAGGTGTTTGCTCCCTTTTGTTTTGTGTTTTTCTGTCATTTTCTGGTCTTCACTACTTCCTTTTCCCCTCCTCTTTCAAGTCTGCTGCACCTGCAAAGATTTCTCCTCCTCTTTTTGCAACTCTATGATCTTTTGCTCTCATAAGCATATTTTCTCTGTTACTCCCTGTATCTGTTCATCTGATTCCTCTCAGGCAGATCATCCTATCTGTTTTCTGCTTTTTTCTCCAGTACTTTCTCATGGAAGATTCCCTGACAGCTCAGACTCAAATTGGGTGTAGAACTGAATGTTATCTTTTCTCCTAAACATTACCACCATCCTACTTGCCATGCAAGCTCATATAGGAATGCTTAACCAGTCTTCCTCCACAATTTATGGGAAGCCTGTCCCTTTCTCTCTGTACAGACAAATGATACTTTTCATAAGCTTTTCCACTTTTTAAGACTTCTTGTGCATCCTCTTTAGCATCTATATTGCCAGTCCATCCAAAACACAGCTGGTGACATTGCTGTTCTCATTGGTCAAACCATACCTATCTCTCTATCTCTTTTAAGCTCATCTTTGTCTTCTGTTCCAGCCTATAAGTCAGATCGAGTGTTTCCTCATCTGAGCCATTCTGCTCTACCAATATATTAAGACCGCATATTCTTAATAATTCCATGTCATCCCTTGTGCCTGTGATGACCTCATTATTCTGTAAATGCTTGGTCTTTTGGTTCTTTGTCTGTTTACACATACTCTTTTTCCACAGTACACTAAAATGAAAAATTCGTAGCTATTCAGATAATGAAAAAGTGAAAATAAATCACTGGTTCTGGGCATGTCCCACTGTGTTGTACTTCTCCATGTCTTTTTCATATCTGTGGGGCAAGGTTTTACTGTTTTTATCTTACATGGTGCACTAGTCTGTTGTTAGTCCTAAGATAATATCAATCATCTTGGGTACTGTTTCATGATTATGGATTCAAATGGATTTAAATAGATTTAAATGGAAACTAACTGGCTGAAGTTTTGTTTTCACAAATCTTCAATTGTGAAAGATATTCACAGACACCAGAAACACAAGTATTTTTGTTTGGTCATTATATGCTTTAGTGGTATTCTTCTTGATGGTGTTGTTGGTCAAATCACATTTTCAATGATTTAAGTAATACATCTACTACTACATCCTTTTGGATTTTTCTCTATTACACAGTCTAATAGATCATACTTCTAAATGAGTTGGTAGGGGTGTAAAATGCTCTTTAGAAATTGTAAGGTTGTCACTACAGTATAATTGACAAATCCAGCTCTTTGAATATATTATTTCTGTGCTTTTAAAAGTGCCTTTGGCCATTCTTCAGGTAAGCCAGTGAGCTCATCCATTTGGAATATTTCAAGTGCCTTTTGTGGCATTTTGAAAACTTTTCTTTTGGAATTCAGAGTCTCCTGAGAATGAACATTTTCTGCATTGCAGGGATCCAGTGAGGGAGAATGAAATGCAGGACATCCACAGTAGCTTTGAAGCATATTTAAAAAAACTCTCCATTTCAGCTCATCACAGATTCAGAAGAAAATATAAAACCTGTTGTGAGGAAATGCAGAACATGCTTTTCCTGACTGACATTAACTTAGTGCTATTTCAGAAAACTTCATTGTTCTCAATTTGCCAGTATGTACATTGTCCACAACCTGTTAAAACATGAACTTTATCTGAGAGAACACTGGAGGAACATAGTGAAAAACTTTTTTCTATACATGTCTATGCATATTCAAAAAAAGATCTCAAGGGTGACATTTCCAAAAGTGTTGTGATTACCCATGCTGGAAAAGAATAAAGTAGTTGAGTGACTCAGTTGTGTGCAGAATAAGAGGGCATCCTCTAAGGAGTCCTCTGCCCATCAGGAGCTGAGACAGCACCATGAGAATGTTGTGCCAAGTGTAAAACTGTGTAATTTACACATTAATAGCTCAGAGGTTGCAGTAGCAGTTACATCCAGACTTTTGCTAGTGATGAGAGCTGAAATGAGGGCATCTGGCCTCAAAGAGAGTGGTGATTATATCACTTACGGTGAAGATTTCCATTTTCAACTTGTTGCAACCAGTAGTTTATAACACTGTGAGTCACTTCAAGACCAGATAGCTGGAATCAAGTATTAAGTGTTGAAATCCCTTACAGTGTTGCAGCAGTGTGCAAGTTTTGGCTATACCAATTTCTCTAATGGTAGAAGGAGTAGGTAGGGATATTTAAATACTGCTTAGTACTCTGAACATTTATGGAAAATTAAACCAAGCCATGCATTATCAGAATAAGATTTATTTTTTTTAAGTAGGAGTGAGTAAACAGTAACTACAGCAATCCTGATTATATAGGTTATTAAACAGCTTGTTTGGTTTAATTTTGACAGTTAATGCCATGTATTATTGTTTTATTCTTAATTTGAAAAGAGCTTACAGACATAATGTTTTCATATAGTCTTGAGATGCTTACAGTCTAGGCAGACAACATGGAGATCAAGAAAATTGCACTTTTATCATAAATAGATGTGGACTTAAGACAGAGAAAAGTTTCCACTTAACTAAACCACACTTAGTATTTGGTCCAGAGTAACCCAGGAAGTGATCTATTACGGACACGATCTTTTTTAATGCATTTATTTGGTTCTGAAAACATGCAGATGAGCAGTTAAGGCTTCCTGGGAGGCCCCAGCCATGAATGTTTTCAGGACTGAAGCTTTACAGTATAGGTGGTGATACTTACCTTGTTGTGAATTCATGAACAATAGTGAATTTCATATCAGAAAAATTTTCTTGCATGTTTTCCAGCTGGTGAGAAAAGTATTTTTCCTGTGTATTGCTTAGGTATCCCCTATCTTGGACATGGGAAATATTAAGGGATAAAAAGAATCAGAGAATGTTCATTACAATTATTTGCACAGTAAGAAATAATGCTAAACACATACATGATGTTTTTGCTCTTATCTTGAATATCTTACAGCTTCTGTTGTATTTCATTTTTTAGGCCTTTCTCTGAGATCTGCCTGTTGCATAGCCATATGTATTAGATGACTTTGGGACTTGCTTTACATCGACGATGAAGGGATTATCTAGCAGCCGTAGTCATCATCATGGGGTTGCCTGTGACCCTCCATGTGACAGTCTGCCACACCACCCGGACAGGAAGCCATATTTGTTAAACCCGGTGGACCCCCATCCTGCAGACCACCCTTACTACACTCAAAGGAACTCTTTTCAGGCAGAGTGCATGGTGCCCTACAACGATCAAATTGCCAGCAGCACGTTTCCCCGGAGGCATTATAGTTCCCACCATGAACTCAAGGATGAGTGTGCTCTGGTTCCCCATGGAACTGCCAACAAGGCAAACCGCATTCCTAAAAACGGCGCCTGCCTCTGAATCGAGATGGCTACCACACTCTGCAGTACAAGCGGACTGCCATGGAGCACCGCAGTGACAGCCCAGGGAGGATCAGGCATCTGGTTCATTCTGTCCAAAAGCTCTTTACTAAGTCACATTCACTGGAGGGACCATCCAAGGGGAGTGTCAATGGGAGCAAAGCAAGTCCAGAGGAGTCACAGACAATGAGGTATGGGAAGCGCAGCAAGAGTAAAGAAAGGCGATCAGAAGGTAAGCCCAGATCCAATGCATCAGGATGGTGGAGTTCAGATGACAACTTGGACAATGATGTTTGCATTTATCATGGTCCCAGTGGGGTCATGACCATGGGAAGATGCCCTGATCGTTCTTCTTCCCAATACTTTATGGAAGCCTATAACACTATTAGCGAACATACTGTGAAGTCATCCAGAAGCAATAATGATGTCAAATGCTCTACCTGTGCAAACTTGCCTGTGAATTTGGACTCCCAGTTAATGAAGAAAAGCTCTTGGTCCTCTACATTAACCGTGAGCAGAGCCCGTGAAGTTTACCAGAAAGCATCAGTTAACATGGACCAGACAGTGGTGAAAGCAGAGACGTGCCAACAGGAACGGTCATGTCAGTACCTCCAGGTACAGTGTGGAGAACTGATTGCTGTTAACTGTGCTCTGCCTTGTCTCAGGTGTTTGTGGGGGATGGAGGTTTGCTCTGATATTTCAACTTTTGCAAGAGGTCACTGATCACCAGACAAGGGGTAAAGCTGCTGAAGTTAAAAATAAATATGCTTTTTTTCTTTTTTTTGGTTTTTTTGTTTTGTTTTCTTTTTCCCCAGCATTCAGTATTTCAAAGAAACATTTCTTGTTGGAACAGGCTTATAATTTTTTCATGTGGGAAAAATAAGACCTTTCTGCGTATTTTTTGACTTTATAAGGCAGTCACAGTAGGTGTACAGGGAATTTGATGTTGTAGTGCTTGCACTTAGCATTACAATGTCAATTAACTGAATGTAACCAGGATACAAATTCTTTGATTTCTGTAATTTCAAGATTTGCCTTCATTTACTGCTTATTTTATTATGAAAGCTTTTGAGACCCTTTTGAGAAACTTTGATGTACCTTAATACTTTCTCCAGCAGGAAAACAACCTACTTTCCTTTTTGCCATAGAATATAAATTCTCATAAAACAGTTATTGTAATGTGTCCAGATTTGTTTGTCTGGCTATTCCTCTTTCTCATGGCTTTGAGTCAAAAATAAAAAATCAAAAGGTTGAAATTATTGCTTGTTCTGATTATACATTTTAGGAGTACATCACCTACTCCCTCACAAGCTGTTTGCAGTTAATACAGCGTCACTATTTTCACCAGTATTGTATCTTTAAATGTCAAGAATCAGATGTCTGCTCTTGGAGCTATCATACTGCCGGTGAATGTTTGTGGCAGGAACATGGATCAGAAAATATTAAAACTGTTTCATTCTTAGGAGAGCTGTGAATAGCTTTTATGCGCTTTAAACGAAGCACTCATGGCACATCTAAGTGTGTGTGTAAGATGGAACAACGTTGCTCAGAGAAGAGAGAAGACCATGAGGAAAAAAGAGGTTTGCTAAGATGATTTGGTTTCATTTTAATGTAGTGGGACTCTTGTCTATTTGTATAGAAGCTGTAGTGAGTTTTCTCATATGGGTGCTTTAATGAGGCAGTCAGCTTCCACATTCTGTTGTTTAAGTCAGTACGCAGAGAAAGCGTAGGACTGAGGCATCCACATTTAAAAATTGGTGTTAAAAGGTTTTATTGAATGGCATGCAAAAAAATTTTGAATGCCAGCCTCTGGTATTCTAAGTCTTAAATGCAAAGAAATGAATCTGTGTATTTTCTATTAATTGTTGGGAGAATGGGTTAGGGGGAGAGGGAACAATATGAAAGCTTGGTATGTGTTTACAGCTGTGCATGTGGACTGGGGAGGGAGAGAGGTTTCAAGGTAGCTTCGGGTTGCAACCTTTTGAGTTTTGGGGTTTTTTTCTATTAAGTCTCTTTTGTCTGAAATTTATGAGTGAGAAGAAATCGCAATTTAGCCTTGATTGTTGTGGTTACTTTAGATGCTGAGATTTCTTTTTGTTGATGTTTTTGTTTACTCCTTCAGTCCTCCTCTCAGGTTTAGATAAAATAGCTGACAATTCAGTATGTGACCAGATGGCGAGAACAGAGCGAAAAACTGTGCCAGCAGCAGCTTTAAATGAACACCTCCATAGGGACTTTTAGATAATGTTTAACTGACAGGAATAGACTCTTGAAGTGGAATTAGAGGACATTATCTGTGTCTGTATGAAAATATGTCCAACAATTTAGAAGGGCAGAAATTAGAATAACTAAATTCTCACTGTGTTTCCCATTCTCATTGGTAGTTCTATTTTGGCTTTCATTTCATTTTGTTTCTTTTTTTTCTAATTGTATGCTTGTTTGTAAAAGCCAGAGAAATATAACTGTTTTAAAATTGTTTAAAAAAAATAAAAAAGGAAAACCTTAGCCAGACTTTGATTAACATTGGAAATTATATTCAGGGTAGAGTAGATTTGAGAAAGCAGGTCAGGATTACTCTTCTCTCTTGGAAGCTTGAAAGGATGACAAATGGATATAGATATTAAAAAGTCAGTCGATTTTGAATGCATCCCGTTGCCTTTTTCTTCACTATATCACTAATCTTTTTACACTACAAGCCCTTTGGGGCTTGGACTTTGTTCCCTTTTGTGTTTCCACAGTGCCCAGCACAACGGGGCTCAGAACCTAATTGAGGCCTTTTGGCTGTCTTGTAGTATAATTATATATTAACAGCATCAGAGTATTATTCTGTTAGTAGGCTGCAGAAGTATTCTATATAACTGTTATTTTCCTGATGACCTTCTCATCATTGTACCCAAAAGCTGGTGTCCTATGTTAGAACCATTAGAAATGCACTAAATGAAATGAAAGCTTCAAATTCATGATAATACTGGACAACTCTAAAAATTTAATTTTGTTATTATGATGCTTCTTTATTTAACTGACTAAATGTTAAATAGATGCTTTTATAAACTGACTTTTAATTTAAGCTGTTGTTTATGGTGCAGGACATAAACTCTCTGATCCTTGAAAGAGGCAACTATTTTGTTCATGCAAAACTCTTCTTGTGATAGTATCTGAATTCAGTGATGGAGTGACTTTCTTTCAACTGAGTATTCAGGATAATTTTCTTTATCCTGATAGATCTGAGTATATCAGAGATCACAGATGACATTGACTTCACATTGCTTGTAAAGTCTTTTATGACCAAAGTATCTGGATGAATTCTCAGTGTAAAGACATGGAAATAACAAACAATTATCTCACTTAGTGTGATATTTTCCACATAACTGTTTTGTGGAAGGAGTTGGCAGTAGTTTGTGTTACAGATGGGCTTATTTCTCATAGTTTGGAACTTGGATTGAGTGCAGAGTCCTCCTGCATTGCACAGTCTTCCTTTACCCTGGCAGGCTCCACTTCCAGCTTGGGTGCTGAGGCACAGTGTCCATCCTTGGAGGTCTAGGGGAGTCTTGTGTCAACACTGTGCATCTTAAGAAAGAAGTATTAGCTCCCAAACTAGTCTAAAGACTGTCAAGCAAACCTTTTCCTCACCTGCATTTTGGGAATGAAATTGTATTTTCCTCTTCTCTTGTATTTCTCCTTTCAAGAATGAGGAGCTGCATAGTAGAAAGATAAAGTCCTTATTTTTGAGCTGCTTCTTAACTTCAGGAAAGTGCTTTTACTCAGGTTTACAGTGGGACTAATTTGAAGGAAAATGAGAAGGAATTGTTTGTGTTTTCTTAGAATTCTTCTAAATGGTTTCAGTCCCTTGAGAAAATAATTTATAAAGCAGTGGACAGCCTCTATTTCTCTGGTAGCTTCTCCTCTGGAAAAATTAAAATTAAGCAAAACTATCAAAGACGAAATGAAGTCTTTTCTGCAAACAATAAGGTCTAAATACACGGGTAGATATTTTTGAGTCTTGTTTTCTATGAATTCATGATTGTTGAAGCTAATAGAGTATCCAATACACTGCAGAGTTTGTCTCTGATGATTGTTTTGCCATTCAGTGTTCCCTGTAATTACTATTCTGATTGTCCTTGGTCCGTTTGTTAAAAGATGGATAAAAATAAAAGGATGACATTTTTGTATTATTCCTCTTTTTTCTTATGTGGGTCAGTCATATGTTTTCTTTTGATCCCATCTGATGAGGCTGAAGTCAATTGTGTCAGAGGATGAAAGGCTAAGATTTTACTTCTGAAAACTGAAGAGCCGTAGGCGAGGGCAACAGTGCAGTCATCTGAGTTCCATATTTGCATCGTTTGTCCATTGGTGGGAGACCGTGAGAAATGCTATAAAAAAAAGTATAAGCCAAGTTTCTGGATTTAGTAAGCATTTTCTGGTGGTGAAGGGCTCTGTTCATACTGTGCTCAGTTTCCTGTGCAAAAGTTGTCTGTAATGTGCATTATTGTATGTGTAGTGTTAAGAGATATAATAGTTCAAGTGACTTGTTTTCCAGCCTCAAGACAAGGCATGCCCACAGGTTCTTAGGAGGTGCTGCTCAATCCCAGTCTCTTTCTGTTGCCTGTGTCCACGGAGGGCCAAATAGCACCCTGCGTCAGGGTGCTAAAAAGGACCAGTATCTGTCATATGATTTTTTTAACGCAGTATGTTAATTACAAAGTGGTTTTCCTTACGGCACAGCAATATATGTTAGATCAGTTATACTGGGCTTATGTATGCAAGTCTATCTGCATTTTCAGTTTATCTTTACTTTTTCCTCATTTGTAGTGTTTGCATTTCTGTCACAACTAGTATATTCAAAGTAGACTTTCAGTATGTACCTATATATATAATTTTATATAAGTTGTATTTTAATATTCATTTTCATCTTCCATTTTTCATATACCCAAAGACCTGCCTTTTTTCCTCTTATTCCATAGTAAATTGAAATTGAATGAAGCGTACATTATTTTCCCATAATTTTTCTAGTCAGAACTACACCGTATACTGAGGTAAAAGTTTAAAATTCATTTTCTGAGCTCATATGAAACATACTTCTCAGTAAAGCTTGTGAACCAATTTGAACGATTGTGAAATAAATGTCAAATGTCAAAATGTATCCTAGGCCAGCTTCCAGGTGAAAGCGACTTATTTCAGCTTTAAAATTGCAAGATGGGTAATATGAATAAAATTACGAAATGTGTGTGCACTTGGAAAATAGAAATAAAGCACAAAATAGCCTATTTACAAAAATAGATTAATAACAGATAATTCCATTGAACATACATCGTGGTTATTTAGCCTACCTGCAAACCTACCCATTGCTATATTAAGAACCTTACCCTTGGTATATTGAGGCAAATATGTAGGAGAATATTTCCATATAGCCATCCTCCTCATCTTTGCAGTCCTTTAATTTACTTTTATAAAAAAAAAATAAAATTGTCAACTGAATTGGTGAGCATGAGTTTGCCACGTATTTCACTGTGTTCTCATTCATTTAGTTAAAACCTGGACTCACCTTTGGTGTCTGAGTAATGCAGTAATGGGGGCCACCTAAGCACTAAGAGCTGTTCTACAGCAATGGCAGTACT